GTGTGTGTGTGTGTGTGTGTGTGTGTGTGTGTGTGTGTGTGTGTGTGATTTATTGGCTGAGATCTGTCAGGACTGTTATTACTGCTATGAAAAGTTCTTTAGCTCATAAGGATCCCAGAACCTCATAATTGGATGGGACCTCATGACCATCTCGCTAAAGGTGGCTAAGCTTTCCTTCCAGAACACAACTCACCACTGTTTATCTAGCCTTTCCCTGAAGAGCTCCCATGAGAGGGAACTCACTTCCTCCTAAAGCAGCCCATTCCATTTAGGGGAGGCGTTTCCTGACGTCAAGCTTAAATATGCCTCTTGGTGCCTTCTACCCATTGCTAAAGACTTGACCTGAGTCACATGACTAGTTAGTGCCTAGGATGGAATTGGAAGTGAAAGTCAAGTTTTCCTCCCTCAAGGCCACAACTCTGTCTGTCCCTCCACACTGCCGTTCCAAATTTCACAAACCTTCTTGGATGGCCATGCTGTGTGCACATAGCCATGTGCCCTCCACCTCTTCCACTTAGCAGCTGTGTGACCTTGGCTGAGTTATGAACCTTGCTGGGCCACCGGGTTTCCTCAGCTGTGAAACAGGAATAATCTTCCTCCCAACCTGACTCCACCTGCCCTACAGGTTTGTGAGCATTAAATGAGGTGATGGGCAGCATGTGCTGTATAGAAGTAATGCAGTATTGGAATTTAAAATCATATATTAATATTGATAAGTAAATTGGAATCCCCCAGACCTGTATAAGAGAAGCCGAGTTCAGATGTTTTAGACAATAGCTCCAGGACTTCAGCTGGTTCTAGTCTAGTTGTGTGACTTTATCGGTGTTGGAACTCCCTCCCCTGACAGAGGTCACCAACTCCTCTACAGCAACTCGTGTGAGAAAGCTGCCCAGACACCCAGAGCATCATTAGCTTGTCCAGGGTCTCACAACATGTCGCAGCATGTCTTGAACCCAGAGCCTTCCAAACCCCAAGACTGGCCCTCTAGATGCTGCGCCACATTGGTTACCTCTTGTCTCAATGCTCCCATTTTTGACCTCTCTCAGACCCTCTGTATGTGCTTTTCAGAAAGCCTTCAAGGCCCCCTAGCTTTGGTATTGATGATATGTAATCTTCAGAAATTTTCCATCTCCTTTCAGGCTTATTGTTATTATAATGATATCCCGGAGGGATTTCTTATGTGTCATGAAACAACAGCCTTTTAAATTCATGTGATGGGCTGATCTTGCTATTCCATCTCATCCCTAAATGTAAATGTTTCTGGTGCTCTGGAATGAAGGAGAATGGGAGAGCATTATTATGGCAGTGGGTGAGTCTAATGGCTTTTCTCTGCCAGGGACAAGCCAAGACTGGAAATATTTATTGGTTCGGTCCTTCAGCAACACGGTATTAATTGTCTTGGAGTGTTTTGATAGGTAGTTAGCATGAGGGCATTAATGAAAACAACCCCACTTCATTTTAAAATTAACTACTTGGCCATTGAGCAACGGGAGCTGATAAATTATGGCAATAAATTTGTGACGGGGATTTATGCCGTCGTAACTCAGAGCGGGGCCACGGACATGCTCAGATGGGGTGAGGAGAAGGGGAATGCCAGAGGGGTGATGCACAGGAGTTATCACGAAGATCAGACATTCCCTCCCAACTTTACTGAATCCTCCCTGAACGTCCCTGCCAGGAACACCAACTCCCACGCAGATTTACAAAGGAGCACACCTCCTCCTTACCTTTGCCAGGCTGACCACCAAATCCCAGCTGGCACCCATCTGGCCCAGGGAAATTTGTCTTGGCTTCAACTATCTGAAGAAAATATTCTGCTGCAATTTTTAGATAGTAGCCAACATTAAACATCCATAGTACCCATGTCTCTGATGACCATGCAGCTTTATACAAAGGGCATGCACAGCTGTCACTAGGAATACTGGCATCTGGGGCCAGTTCAGTTGAAGGGAGACCTCAGAGGCAGGGACAATGCCTGACACATAGTAGGCACTTAATAGAAGCTTATTGACTTTGTGACCTGGCACTGTACTGTAAGAAAAGGAGATATAGACCTGATGTGGCCATCATGGACAGAGATCCCAGGATACTGTTTTGGAGAGAGGATCACTGCATCATAGATTTGGAGCTGAATTTCCCCCCTCTCCTACTGTCCCCCACCCCCCAAAAAAACTCTGTGGTGCCGAGAACCTTTATTCCATTCTGATAAAGCTGCTCAGACTATTTCTGCTGATGGGACACAAACTTACTGAGTTTTTCAGCTAACATAGCATCTGCAGAACAGGTTTCCTATTTCTCTCTTTCCCTTTCACTGAGAGAAAATATGGCATCATGGTATATGGCATCATGTATAAAACCAGGAAAGACCTGTATTCATATCTCAACTCATTTATTAGCTGTGTAACCCTGGGCAAGTCATTTTATTTCTCTGAGCCTTAATGTCCTCTTCTGTAAAATATAAGTAAAAATAACACTTATTTTTATTTGATCAGAGTTGTTAAAAGGAACATATTAAATAGTAAGTGGGAAAACGCTCTGTGAACTTGAAATCTCTATGTAAATGTTCAACTATTGGGGAAATAGAGAAGATTTTGGTGATGAGATTATGTTAGAAGGCAATGTTAAGCATTCACTTCCTCCTGCTGTCAAGATCTATGTTTCTTTCTCAGGCTTTCATCTGACTTAGAACTTGAAAGTCACCTTAAGCCTAGAAATGCTAACAGTAGCGATATGACAAGAGAAAGAACTTAAAAGCATAAAGCTAGGCAAAAAGGAAGCAAAATGATCCCTATTTGCTGATAATATGATGGTTTACTTAGAAAATCCTAGAGAATCAACAAAGAAACTAAGGTAGACAAAGTTACAGGTTACAAAATAAACTCAAAAATGAACAGTATTTTTATGTAATAACCAAATCCAAGAGGCGATAATAAAAAGAGAAATACCATTCAAATAACTACAAAATGCATAAAAATTTCTGCTATTCAATCTACCAAAGCACACAAAATACTGGTATAGATTCAATTAAAAAGTACTCCTTAAAGAAATTAATAAATAGCTATTTAAACAGCTGAAGGAAATGTCAATGTTCATGGCTGGGTTGTGCCAATATAATAAAAATGACACAACTAAAATTATTTTACAGCTTTAATGCTGTACCAACCAAATTATCAAAGGGATCCTTAATAGAGATAAGTGAAATAATAACAAAATTTACTTGGAAGAATAAAAGATGTACAATACAATGTGAATTGATGGGGGGCGGGGGGAAAGTTAGGCATGAAGAAGGAAAAGTGATTCCAGTCCTCAAACTATATGTATTATAAAGCAGCAATCATCAAAACCATTTGCTATTGATTAATTTTAAAAAAGAAAAAAAAAGTCACACAGCAGAATAGACCAGATGAGGGAGAATCAGAAATAATGGAACTCAATAACTGTGTTTGATAAACTCCAGAACATAAATTACCTAGGAAAGAATTCCTTATTTGATAAGAACTACTAGGA